GGTGAAAATTCTTGATGGCACTCACGAACAGTGAAAAACGGGACACGGCACCTTAGCGTAGAAGGTAGGACGATTCGTTTGCCGCTATTCATAGTGGTAGTGGTAGATGTAGTTTTCCACTATGTGAAGGTGCACTTGCAGTCCACGGTTTGTGAATAGTCTGCAGGGCCTTTACTGCTCTGTCTGTCTGTCTGCCTGCCTGCCTGTCTGTCTGTCTGTCTGTCTGTTTGATTTCTCTTTTTCCTTTCAATAAAATGATGCACGTGCAAGATGTACTCCATCTGTTTGTACGTGTTCATAGGTAGAAGCAGGGGGGAGTTGTGTTGTTGAGCAGTCCAGGCTTGGGAATGCATGGGAGAGACGACACTCCCTGGAGCCCTCTACCCCACCTCATGGAAGAGCCTCCGCCAATCTGTCTTCTGAGTCACCTATTAAGTTTAGGCGGGATTCGATTGTAATATCAATTTTTGCGCCACGTTCTCTAATAACGTACGAAAGGTGTGCTGAGTACTCCAAAATAGAAATTATGTTGGTAGAAGAGAAAAGACGACAATTCAAGAGCATTTCATTGGTTTGTATGTCTTGACGCAGCGCCTGTTTGCAATGCTCAGGCGTGCTTGGTACTATGAGATTGAAATCATGCTCGTAGAAGAAAGGGGGAAGTTGTGTTACGGGTACTGGAGGCAGTGAATTTGCGGTTGAGAGGGGGTTCCAAATTTGCAGTGAATCTGCTACAGTCCCCCCGTTTCTTGTCCTTTTCTCCCTTTCTACCGACGGTTCGTTATGCAGTTCCCGGTGGCGATATCCTATGTACGACTTCGCTACCTACCTGTTGCAGGTATTTCCAGTCAGATTGAGTGGCAGGGTCATGGTCATCACCATGCGGCCGTGCTGTGGCCCGAGTGCCAGGGGGGGATCTGGAGCGTATGTTCTGGCTGTTGCAGACCTTTCTTTGCTAGAGTCTTGTATCTGGTGTGAGTGAGTGATCGTCCGCTTTAATGTTTGTCACAGGTACCCATGAGGGGAGCGGTTGGTGCCCACCACACCCTATCAGCTGCGGGGCAGTCGTTGATGCTCAACCACAACCGGGGTAAAGGTGAACTATCACTTACGGTGTTGTCAGTTAGGGACAACCATAACAGAGAACTACCCTGTGAACCATAGGCAGAAAGGGAGAAAAGGACAAGAAATGGGGGCCCGGGTTGGTACAGACTGTTTCGTCAGAGTCTAACCAACTCATCAAGGGACTGAACCCTCAACAGTCGGTGGAGTTTTTTTTTTTGTTTTTTTTTGTTTTTTAAATAACGTTAAAAGTAGGTTTTTTTTTTTTTTTTTTTTTTTTTTGGAAAGCATTAGCATTTCATTGAACAAAAGAAACTTTGGGACTAGGCGGGGGACCTCACAATTCGACCCGGAGTTATCCTGGCAGCCTCAGCCAGTTTCGCTTACGA